TTTCTCAAGTTCACTTTTCACAAGTTTATCTACAAATTCAGGTTGCTTTCTTGCTGAAAATAAGTTTTTACATTCTAGTGTTTCTATTCTGGTGCTTGAAATCATAGTATCAAGGCTTACAATGAATCCTTCGCACAAATATTGGACAAATTTTTTATCCGGATGATTACAGAGTTCTGATCTTAAGTTATTCACATTTATAGGCGTTGAGACTTCAGAAGAAGTTCTTTCACAGTTCACTAGTCACTTTGTACTCGGTATGGATGCCATGGAACTTCTTTGGCTTCTCTTACACAGGGAGGCTCCGTGGTCGTTTTCGTGACACACTGTACATATGTGCTCAAACAGACAGTTCGTTTTCCTACATCTATCATCATTGAAATTGTTGCACACCTCCTTGTTGTTCACCATGGTTCGTGTTCGACCGTATTTGTCAGTTGTTTGGTTTTTGTTGGTTGGATAACTTCGCATGGACTGGCCAATTACCAGAATGATGTTCTTTTGTACTTTCGGACAGAACGCTGAGAGGCGCATGCTTGATGAACAAGTTGAGCATTTGTTTGCAGTAGCATTACCCGCTACCATCATGAGAAGGCCAAAATATTTCACCGACAAGTCAATTTTAACATTATCCCTGAGGGCAGTTGCATCTCTTGATGAAAATTGGCAATGGTAGTCGTAAGATTTACCACCACAGACGTTGTGTATTCTACTCTGATAGCTTCATATCTATCCAACTCTACCGTCTCCCTGGTAATCGTTTCACATAACTCTCTTACATCTACCGAGCTGTAATAAATTCAGCGATAGAGAGTTGCTTATGTAGTTTGTGGTCTTATTGTTTCATCAGGTTGAAGGTGATGCTGTTGGGTTTGTCTGAATCATACTTGGGGATAAGCAATTCGGCCATGTTAACGTCTTTCCCCTCCCAAATTTTTTTTTTGTTAACTTTTCAGTGACTACGTCTATGTGTGAGAAAGAGTCTGACGGGACGCCAAATTCACTTCTATGTTATGTGTAACCACCTGTAGTTGGGCCCTACATGGCCAGTTGTTGACGAATCGCCGCCACTGCTGTGTCCAATGAGTGGTCATCTGTTTTGCTGTTCTTCTTTTCGGCCACCAAACTCATGAAGCCCGAGTACTGTCTGTTGCATGCTCTGCATGGTGTTCAGCATGCTGCAGACTATGTCTCTGCTCGAGGAGGCCGCCATATTGGATAAATTGGCTCTCGATCCCGATGCAACATTGGTTGATGCGCTAGATCTCGATCCTTCTCCCGATGGTGTTTCGCTTGAAATTGTTGCTCAGGTCGTTTCAATTCTGTTATTATTCTCTGGAGTTGGTTCCGTACTCGGAGGCACAATCACGGCATTTGCAACGTCCTCTTCCCTCGATTCAACGCTCATCCGGTCATCTGCGTTCGCAGGGGGTATTTCTCGATTCTCCAGATATAGTTTCTTCATTACGACTTTCCCAATGTTGGCAGGGACACGAATACCCAGCTTAGCCAGTTCCTCGATATATTTTGGGTTGTCCAATTGTTTGTGTTGCTCTCATCCCAGCGATTAGATGGGGAGGACGTCTACGACTTCGAGCGCGGTCAGTCATGATTTGAAACTTGATCCTCAGCGCCCGAAATGTACGAGTACAGTGTCCACAATCTTATTGATTTGTAACTGTTTCACGATCACAAATTCACAAAACACAAAACACGACATTTTGGTAGCGTATGTTGATTATTTGGTATAATAATTGAAAGTCCGTGAATCGGGCCAAATAAATTACGATACAATTTTCTTTACAAACTTGGCGCACTGCTTGTAGCTGAATCCCCACTATAAAAAACAACCAATCGAATTGTAGCAACATAATTTTAGAAACAATAATGACGGATAGGTCAAATCCGAACAAACCCGTCTACCTGGCTTATGATACCATAAGTCTCCATTCATAAAACTAGAGTCTGAGCACAGCTGTCAAATGTCTGAGCAGGTAATATCATTCCTATGTAAAAAATTTAAGTACAAATACTGAATGAAATATTGTCAATCAGTATTCGTGTATATGTACGAGGAAGTTCGCCCATATAAGGATTTTATTTTCTGTTATGCGAGGGAACGTAATAAACAGTTCCGCACACTTTCTAATCTAACATGGCTTTAGCACAAATTATGGTAACGTTCTTCTTGTAATAAACTTAACCTAACCGAGTTTCAGTACGATGAATTAACCCTTTTATGTATTAAAGGACTCATATCAAAGGTACATGTTCTTTAAAACAATCATCTTAAGTTTTCACAGTTGATTTTCTAAAGGGGCGTTTAAAGGTGCTTAGACACAGATTGGAAGTTAATATTTTTTTCAGATTTTATGTATTTATGACGACTTATATATTGCATTATCATTTCACGACAAAATATGATAAAAGCCTTATACAGAAAATTTGAGAAAATATTAACTTCAAATCTGTGTCTATGCACCTTTAACGCCTTAAATATATATAAAGAAAACCATCAATAATTGGTATGATGTTACATCTGTTTGATTCTACTACAGGTGTTTACAAATTTATCGATGTTTCTTTGATACTATTTATAATTTTATAAATAGTATCAAAGAAAGCTCGATAAATGTATTATTTATTCCTTAGGGCGTTGAAGTTGCCTTTACTACATCGACTTTTTAGGTCACCTGAGTAAACTCACAATGGCTTCTCTTGGACTTTGAAGAACATTTAAAATAAGTTATTTTGTCTCATTTTTATTCATTTATGATTTACAAGTCTACCTGATCTTTAATACAATGAAATTACTTCTTTATTATGTAAAATTTTATGTAAATTTATGTAATTTTTATTTATACACAACTATGTTACTTAACTGTTGACGTAATCAGGAGACATGTGCCTGGGATGTTTATAAACAAAACCACGTGATCGATGGAACCAATCAGAAGTGTGGAAAGGGACGCTGTCTCTGTCTTTTGTAATCGAAGTGTTTAGTATTGTACCTTTAAATTGGTCATTATTTTGCCTTTAATCCCAAGATTCTTCCTACTTTCGTTTTCCCAATATTTTGTCATGTTATACCAACAGTTTTATAGACATATTTTGTGATATTCTGAATCTATTGTGATATTTCCTTGACTGTAATAAACTTGTGAAAAAATGCCGCCTATCAGGAATCGCACTCGTGTTAATCGACAACCGAGGACATCATATGACGATTCACTTCCAGAAAATTGGTCCGTTTCAAAATTGAGAGATGAATTGAGACTAAAAGGAATCACACAACCATAGAATACAAGACGAAGTGTATTAGTGAATTTATATAAACATACCGTAACAAATGACGAGTCAAGAACTTCTCAGTAATCGGGAACCCATGAATCGCGGCAAGAAACGGTTTCAACCACCCAAGGACAAGACGTTAGAACAGAGTTATTAGGAGTTATAAGGAACCTTACTTCCACTGTAGAGAATCTGCAAAGCAGTATGATTTCGTTAAACCAAAAGAGTAACCTATGAATGCAGGAATCTACTGTCTTCTCGGAAACAACCAGATACAACTTCCCAATTAATTCAGAGTTACAAAAGGGGTTCATTTCCGGTACATACCCATCCATGCCCTTCGACTTATGCAGAGTAAATCCAACAGGGGTCGCAGAAGGAATATATTCTAAAAAGAAAACACTCGATTTATCTGCTCCGCATAATGAAGATCATCATGCCAGTCTCAATTCCCTTATTGACAAAAGTTAATTTTTTTTCATATGTAACAATTGATCATGCAATAGACTTGATTAAAAAGCTAGGAAAAACAGTTGGATGTGTAAAGTAGACATTTCAGATGCATTTAAACTCATACCAATTCATCCTAGCCTATGACCATTTCATGGAATTAAATGGGATAATCAATACTATTACTTTACAAGATTGGTGTTTGGTTCAAGAAGTAGCCCAAAAAATTTGACACTCTTTCAACAATTCTCTGTTGGATTGCGCAATATGAATTTGGCATTGACAATATTTTACATCTCCTTGATGACTTCCTAACAGTAGACCCTCCAGAATTTCCAGCAGAAACAACAATGAACACTCTAACAACTATGTTTCAAATTCTGGGGATACCTCTAGCCGTCCACAAAAGTGTAGGTCCTTCACAGTGCTTAGAGTATTTAGGGATAGTTTTGGATATTAATAAGATGGAAGCAAGACTTCCGACTGACAAACTACAGCGAAAACTTGAAACAGTACATTCATTTTTGGAGAGAAAGACATGTACCAAACGACAATTGCTAAGTCTATTGGGTCATCTAAATTTTGCCTGTCGGATTGTACGTCCAGGCCGTTCATTCGTGTCATATTTGATATCTTTATCTACAACAGTGACGGAACTTCATCATAACGTGACAATTGCTGCTGAATGTAGGTTAGATTTGGGAATGTGGTACAAATTGTTATCTTCATGGAACGGTATAGCCTTCTTCCTTGAAGATAGTATAACATTAGAAGCAGATATGCCTCTATATACAAATGCAACAAATTCTGCTTTTGGGGGATACTATGCCGGGAAGTGGTTCCAAGACGTTTTTCAAGCAGACATGTTTCACAGTGGAGAAAAACCTTCTATGGCTTTTTATGAACTCTGCCCCATTGTTATGGCATGTGTTATATGGGGTCAAGAATGGTCCAGAAAAAGAATTCTCTTCCATTGTGACAATTTAGATAAAGTCGAAATTATAAATAAAGGGCGTTCGAAAATGAAATCAATCATGAGGTTAATGCAAAAATTAACTTTCACCGCAGCAAGTTTTCATTTTACTGCTCATGCTAGACACATTCCAGGGAAACTAAATACTATAGCTGATGCTATTTCTCGTTTCCAGATGGACAAATTTCGCAAACTAGCTCTGGAGGCGGACATCCGAGCCACAGCCTGTCTTCCATACCACAAGATTACAATGTAGAAGAAATAAAGACTTTATGGAATGCAGCAATTAGCCAACAGACAGGAAGAACATATTCCACGGGCATTCAACACTATTATCATTTGTGACTTTGTGTGGTATAGCAGTACCATTAGGTACTTTATCTGATGTAAATGAAGATGTTCTTATCAAATTTGTATCTTATTGTCATTACTCTTTAAGCTTATCATTTCCTACCATTAAACTGTATTTGGCTGGCATAAGATTTCATTATCTTAAAGCTGGACTCTGTAATCCTTTAAAGCAACATGAAAGACTTGACTGCATTTTACGTGGCATTAAAAGACTTCAATCTAGTGTTTCAAAACCGAAAAGATTTCCTGTTACGTGTCAAATATTATGTCAAATGCTTAATCAGTTGAATGGCTCATTTTTTCACCATTCGTAGATCTTATGCTATCAAGCTGTTCTCTCATAGCATTTTTTGGATTTCTCCGTTGTGGAGAATTTACTGTAAAGAGTAGAAACGTAGACAATGATTTTCTAAGTATGAAAGATGTAATAGAAAAGGGAGATAACATGTCTTATGCTTTGTATTTGAAATTTTCAAAAACCGACCCTTTTCGTCAAGGTGTCTTTATTCACGTTTTTAACAATGATCACACCAAACCTGTAGATATTATGCATGAATACTGCCAGCTACGTATTTCACAAGGCGCTCAACCAAACTCACCTCTGTTTGTTGATGCTGATGGTTCACCTTTGTCGAGAAATCTATTTGTATCATATTTAAGTTCACATTTAGTAACCTGCCGGGCTCACCCAGCTACTTTAACTACTAAAATTATTTTCAACCTGCTGCCCCCCCCCCCCACCAGGTTGATTGAAATACCTACTGTAATAGTACCATGCTTTAAGTTCACATTTAGAAACCTGCCGGGCTCCCCCCAGGTACTTTTATTATTATTCTGCTGGGCTCCCCCCAGGTTGATTGACAACAACCAAAAATATTGCTTTCAGTATCGATGATAAGCTGTTGGGCTCCCCCAGGTTCTGGGATACCAACTAATAACCTGCTGGGCTCTCCCCAGGCTTTGGGATACCAACTGATAACCTGCTGGGCTCTCCCCAGGTTCTGGGATACCAACTGATAACCTACTGGGCTCTCCCCAGGTTCTGGGATACCAACTGATAACCTGCTGGGCTCTCCCCAAGTTCTGGGATACCCACTGATGACATAACCTGCTGTTCTCTCTCCAGATTCTGGGATACCAACTGATAACCTGCTGGGCTCTCCCCAGGTTCTGGGATACCAACTGATAACCTGCTGGGCTCTCCCCAGGTTCTGGGATACCCACTGATGACATAACCTGCTGTTCTCTCTCCAGGTTCTGGGATACCAACTGATAACCTGCTGGGCTCTCCCCAGGTACTGGGATACCAACTGATAACCTGCTGGGCTCTCCCCAGGTTCTGGGATACCCACTGATGACATAACCTGCTGTTCTCTCTCCAGGTTCTGGGATACCAACTGATAACCTGCTGGGCTCTCCCCAGGTTCTGGAATACCAACTGATAACCTGCTGGGCTCTCCCCAGGTTCTGGGATACCCACTGATGACATAACCTGCTGTTCTCTCTCCAGGTTCTGGGATACCATCTGATAACCTGCTGTTCTCTCTCCAGGTTCTGGGATACCAACTGATAACCTGCTGGGCTCTCCCCAGGTTCTGGGATACCAACTGATAACCTGCTGGGCTCTCCCCAGGTTCTGGGATACCCACTGATGACATAACCTGCTGTTCTCTCTCCAGGTTCTGGGATACCAACTGATAACCTGCTGGACTCTCCCCAGGTTCTGGGATACCAACTGATAACCTGCTGGGCTCTCCCCAAGTTCTGGGATACCCACTGATGACATAACCTGCTGTTCTCTCTCCAGATTCTGGGATACCAACTGATAACCTGCTGGGCTCTCCCCATGTTATATTGTAATGTATCTATATTTAAATCAGATAGCAGCCCCCGAGATGCCAAAGGTTTTTGTAATGTATTTTTCTAACAGTATTTGTTTTTAATTTATTTTGTACTCAACCTTGTTATGTACATAGTGTTTTTAATTCATTATGTGATGTGTTCATTTTAATAAATCTAAACCTTTACCTTTTGTCATGTTGTGTATAAAGTTTGCATTATTTCTCTTATTCAATTAACTTTCAAATACATTATTTACAATGATAAGTTATCAGTAATGAATGGTAATGTGGAATAACTTCTCTTAGTTGAATATGAATTAATAAAAGCCCTAGCCAGAACTGGAGCAGTCGACCAAATAGTCCTGATGTTCAAAAATCTGATCTGGTAAAAATTTAATTTGCTTTTATCCTGTTTAGAAAATACTTTTGATGTATCAAAGAGTAGTGAAGATTTTCAAAACAATTATGAATTTTAACTACAGCTTCAACATAGCCCTAATGCTAAAACCCATGTTCCAGAGTTACGAACTTCACAAAATTGGTAATGGTAACCTCATTACCATAACTCTGCACTTTGTTGAAGATTTGAAAAGAAAACATACTTTTCACTTTCACTTTATTATCAATATCCCCATCCCCCATGGTATGTACAGCGAATACATGTATCATAGGGTCACATTGACCCTCCAAACATTTTTCTCTTATTAGCTCTTCTGAGCCAAAGGCTCAAAGAGCTAATGCTGTGGCCATTTGTGCGGTGTGCGTTAACTTTTTAGAATATGGGCCATAACTCGAGAACCCCTTGGCCAATCAGTGTCAAATTTTTCACAGGGTATCCTTGGCGTAAGGGCTACCCTTTATACTAAAATAAGGGTTGGGACCCTTAAATAAGGAGAGATAATCAAGAAAAGAAAACCAAAAGTACTGGTTGCTAAAAAATCTTCTTCTCCAGAACCACCTGGCAGATTTTCACCAAACTTACATACAAGGATCAGGATATGTTGAAGATTAAAAATGGTCTCAAGGTCACTTCAAAGTTGACCTTTTACAAATAATAAAAATGTTTATATTTTGCTTACTAATATGACTAGGATCATCAAATCTTGTAAGTTGATGTACGAGGGTTGTTCGAAAATTATTGAGACATTGTGTATATTTTGCTTTCTAATGAACGTCTTTCAGTGAAAATTGGCATATACGTTTGACATACACTAACAATTGAAAAGAGCAAGAAATATTTTACAAATATTAAATATTTTCTCTACAATGGTATATAAATGTGTCATTAGTAGGGGTACCCGGAGCAGTCGCGGAATCGGACATTGAAAATATGTAACCCCAAATTTCTAACTCTTCGTGGATCAATAATGAGCGCGAAAATAATTCAGTTTAAGTGTATAATTTTTCAGCTTTGGTTCAAATTCATGTTGTGCAACTTTGATAGAATTTTGGTTTCGTCTTTTCTGAAAGAGATATCGATATTCATGTGTATTATATAAGAATAGTATTTTCATTGCCTGAAAAGACGTCACGTGGTATTCTTCCTTTTGCGATATCGACGCGAACGCACATCCGCGAAAAATGAAATCGCACGACACGCCATTCTGTTGCATTAAAGTTTCAATTCTGAAATACATTTCACGAAACAGGCACGTGGTATGAAAGGTCTTCCAACGTTTTGTTGCAGATTAGTCAAATCATAGTTATATTTGCTAATGTGTTAAAAAAAAATTGGTTGAGGAACTCTGTTGTATGGAATGCCATATACGACAGCCAACTGCTTACTGTCAGCTGCTTACTGCCAACTGCCTCACATATTTGAATACATTTTATATTTATATGAATTTTCAAAAAGAAGGAGAAAAAAAAAAAAACAGGCGATGATCCAGGACATTTTTTCCAAGAGGCACCCTGGTAAAATTAAATTGAATAAATTACCATTATATTTTTATTTATGTATTATTCAATATATGCCGTTGATAAAGTACATTGTTTATTTTTATATTTATTTTCTTATTTGCAGATTAAGATGTTTTAAAAATAAATTTACGTTTTCCATTATATCCTATAGTTAAAAAATTCCTCAAATTAAAGATGTATATCTCTGTGTGTTATAATGTTTCACATGCAAAGATTTTGGGGGTGGGGGTTGGGGGTGGGGTGGGGCCATTTAAAATTTGTACAGTCATGGGTTAATGTATAAACTAATAAAACTGACCTTGGACCCTCCACTCAGAAAACGCCGATCAAACATTCATATCTCTTTGTTTTTACAAATAAGATATGTTTTACATGCATAGAACTAGAGAGAGGCTGCATTTCATTTCCGGAATTTTAGGTAATTATCAACTTTTCATTTCCGACATTTTTAAGTTTTCATTTCCGACATTTTTTTTGTTTTCATTTCCGACAATTTTCAAATACATATGTACAGTAGTACCTATAGTTACAGATTTGATATCTTTCCATATGGACAATTTAGTGGAATAAATTATAAATAAATCATTGTAATCAAATTTTGTAAATCTGTCAGTGACTTGGACATAAGTATGGTGCTGTCACTGACATTTAATTTAGTGCACATTAAATGTGGTGAAAAAAAAATTATGCTCATTGAGCTCTTTAACCTACCTTAGTGCTACAAGTATTTATATGTGTAAATATATATTTTTTAATATTTTGGTATAAATACTTTTAAAATTCCATTTTCTTTTACTTAGAAAACATTGAATTGCCGCACAGGTAAATTCCGGAAATGAAAAAAAAATTATGTCGGAAATGAAAACAAAAAATGTCGGAAATGAAATAAAAAATTGTCGGAAATGCTATGCATATTTCCGGAAATGAAATGCAGCGTAGAGAGAGAGGTCCGGACCACACCTCTGAAATTTGTACTAAAATAACTAAAAAGTCATTCAATGTATAAAATAAATCAATTAAAAGGGACCAAAGAACCCCCCCCCCCCCGAAAACGCGGATTCGTGTTAAGTTGGTATAACAAATGTCATAGACATGAAGGTATGACGCATGTGAGAACCCCCCTCTTCCCGGCCGAAATAAATTTTCACATTATAAGGAAAGGACTTTACGGGGTTTTTTTTCATGTCAAAAAATTTCTGGGTTGGATTTTTTTTTAACATGAGAGATCCTCTCTGAAAAAATGTTCTAGATCTGCGCCTGTTTTTTTTTTTTTTTTTTTTTTTTTTTGAAAATTCATATAAATATCAATATGAAAATAAAATTTATTTAAATATGTGTGGCAGTTAGCAGTAAGCAGCTGACAGCTGGCAGTAAGCGGTCAGCAGTTGGCAGTAAGCAGTTGGCTGTCGTATATGGCATTCCATACTGTTGTAACATTCTTCCACCAACTTTTTTTTTTTACTTTGCTTTTAAAAAAATTTCAGATAAGTTGTTTATATTTCTTTTTTTCATACTAATGAAAAATTGTTGTTGTAAAAAAAAAATACATGTATAAATAACAAGCTATAATTCAGAGAATTCGTGTCCCCCGCTTAGGGAAAAAGTCGGATCCCCCCTGGCTGAATGTGTATAATTATTAAATGTATACATGTCTACTGAAGCACAAAAAATACATGTATGTCAATATGCATATAAAGATTTGATTGCTTATTCTTTATTATGTGTATAGAAGATTCTTTTATATGGAATATTTATCACACTGTAATGATGATTTTATAACCTCATAAATTATCCTTTTCACATGCTGAATACTATCATTTAAAAAAAAGTTTATATTAAAAAAAGGGGGATCGTTGAGAGTCGATCCCGGGAACTCTCACATGTGAATCGGGAGACATACCACTAGACCACGGAATCGCTTTAAAAATTCAGCATATGCAGAAGTGAAGTCACATTCATGTACATGTATATATTCATGTTCGGTATTGTCAAAATTTTACACAATCCATGGTGTTTGATTTATTTAGCCTTTATAAAACAGTTCTAATAGATTAATATATAAGAACATAAAGTCCGCCGAGAACCTGTTTTGGTATAAAATTACATTACATAAGTTCAAAATCTTCTTCAAATATCGCCCGGAAATGATAGTGTTACACACAGACAGTAGGCCTTTCAACTAATTTTTCAAGTTGCACATATGGTAAAAAACATTGTATAAATAGATTTATAGGTACATAAAATTATCAAAAAAGATAATAACTTGTGCATACTTTTAATTACCTCATTAAAAAGTTTAATAATTTATACTTGACTTTTCCGATGTTGTGTTTAAGGACAGGTAACTCAGGTGTGAAAAATGACCAACTTAGTGCCGATTTATGAGTTATCGTTTATAAGAATGACATATAGGCTGCTTCAGCACTGGTATTGTTATATACACAAAAGGGTTCCTTACATTGTTTTGTTCACAAAAAAGCTTTGACCAAGAGAAAGAGAATGCCTTCTCTCTACCTGAAAGAACAGCGTCAAATGAATAGGGAACAGACTATATTCAATAGTTTAACTCTCTTTGGCGATTATTATGAAGAAGAAAATTTAAAGTCATGTTTTTTGTGTTCGCACTTTTTCGCTTCCTGTGTAAATATAGATATTTTTACAAGTAAATGCAACAATTGATCATCTTATTTGTGTTACTAAGCACGAAGGGGAACGACCGAGTGTAAAAATTTAAATAGGTTAGAACTAAGAAGGAGGGTATATTTCACTTTTTATTTTAATAAAAATTTTAATTATTTGCAGTAAACCGATTTCCGCAACTATAAAGTAAATAAGTTTAACATTAGTGCTAAATTTTAAAACCAATAGATTCTACTGAAAGCAAAGAAACACCTGAGAAATGCTAAAAACTGCCTTGCGTATAAACAGTTAGATACCAAGAGCCTGCTCTAAACAAGTTTCAGCAGTGAGTTATCGTTCATAACACCGACCCCTAGCGGCAATTGAAAGGCCTACAGACAGAATGTATAAATTTACGACCTTGAACTTTGACCTTTTGACCTCAAAATCAATAGGGGTCTTCCCTAAGTTACAGGGAGTTGTTATGTAAAATTTTATTGCAATAGCTCAAATGGTTCTAGGGATATCGTGTGGAAACGAAAGTGTTATAACAGACAGAATTTGCTTATTTATGACCTTGACCTTTGACCTTTTGACCTCAAAATCACCTCAAAGGGTTCTCGAAATATCGTGTAGAAACGAAAGCGTTACAGACAGA